AGGAATGATAAGGACTTACGAGATGTAGTGGCTCTCTCCGAAGTCTGATTAATAAATTAGTCGCGGATCGTAACAAACAAGAGATGCATACGTACCGTTCCAGCTAATGATTTCAATCAGCGCAGGCTTCATCTCTAACATCTGTTCCCATCGATGAGTGGGCTGCTCCTCGCAAATAAATACCCAGTTTTTAGTGTTGAAGTGCGTGAAAAACCACGGCGACACGGCTGCAAACTAGTCAACCAGAGACTCATTAGGTTTGTCATTCGTTTTCAAGCACTTACGAGCCATGTAGGGCTTATCGCCGAGGCCTTGGAGGAATCTATCATCCCAAATTGTCGACATTGGTCCTGGAATCACGCTGTTTCCTCCGTCGGTTGCCCACGCATACCACGAAAATGCTCCGTCTAATCCGGTGTTCGCGTGTGGGATCCATGCTGGGTCCTGGATCATTGGAATAGCAGTGATCTTGCTATTTGGAAGCGCGTTCTTGACGGCATTCCAGTCCATGTTGTCGCCTACGAATGTACTCACGAGAGCGCCGTCGTTGAAGTAAGCCTGCGCTGCGTGTGAGCTGTAGTTCCCCACCATCTCCGTGATCAACTGCGTATCGCCGGTAGACCAATACGCAAAATCAAAGGAGATGAACATTTTAAAGTCAAGCTCTTGCCCCGCCGCATATGCGAGGGCCAGCTGCTTGGGAGTGTAGGCATCGACACGCGGGGGCGCACAATTCAGTGCGAAACCATCGATGCCGATTTTTTTAGCCTGGTTGATGTCGACTTTCCAGTCTTCAAGGGTATAATTTTCAACAATGCCAACCTATGTTCAATAGTAAGCGTCAGGAGTCTGGCCTTGAAAGCGTCTGTCCTGACCATAAAGTGCGCATACACAGGTTTCTGTGCCTGAACAACAGAAACTGCCCTGATGGCCAAAGCCCCGGCGATAAGAGCTCTGAAGGTCCGAAACATGTTGGTAGGGTAGGTCATAGAAGAAATGATTGAATTCGAAGCGCTGAACTGGCCAAGTCTACCCGAGATGTGGCGAGAAGCCAACAAATGCGAGCTTTTTTATGCTTCAAGTATCGTAACATTGTGAAGTGCAGGCCATCGGGCCTTTTTCTTATTTATCCTGGGGAACGTTGCAAACTCGCTGTGCATTACGATGTTTCCTTCTGCACTACCTACCCGAAACAGTCATCTTGCCTGATGCAACACATGACAATCCTTTATGCAGAGAGCAAATTGCGGGGAGATGCACCTGTAACGTCGTGACTGTAGGCTGATCGGCAAGTGTGATCCGTTTTGGAAAAATACGACGATAAACGAACCCGAAATAGCAACTCGTGATCAATGAATCGCCAACTTCAGCCAAATCACCCTTCAAGACTGAAACATGCCGTATTCTGACCACTCAACTTGAAGCTAGACGACAACTGAGATGCGCCTTAGCTTGGCATAAGCCTACTGAACGTAACTTCAAACTGGAATTGACTGATACATCAGGCGAGTGTTGTGAGTCCAGTCATGGACATCATGGGGTCGAATTTATTAACTGCCAAGTTCAGACCCCTACCCTGTACAGCGTAACCTCAACTACCGGCTTGATATGCCACTGTTCTACTATCCATCGTGTTTTTACCAGAGTATTGCTGTAGACTTGTTACTAGCTGCAAAAAGCTGGATTGTGAAATAAATTCAAGCTAACCTCTGAGAGTATAAAATCAGTATATACTGTTGCTACAACTATCTCAGTGTGAGCTGTAACCCATCTTGATGGCCAATAATACGACTCTGTCCTTCCGATTCTATTGGTAGGTTACTCCAATGTCACACCACTTAGACCTTCCCCAAACAGTAGAAACATTAAGAATGCCGCTTACATACACGATTCACACATACTAGCCTCAAGAATATGAACTCCAAATCCAATAAAGTCCTCCACACTCCCATGAAGACAACCGATCTACGCCGAGACACCTCTTCGCTTCAAGTGCCAAGCCCAAACATAGCTTACTTCTCATTGTGGGCACAAGGATGGTGGGACACTGATACAGACGGGCTTCTCAATCACAGTCTTTCTCCTTCTACTCGAGTGAGGCATATGCATGCAGCATTACTGACGTAAGGCAAACCGAGCGGGGTTTGAAACGCCCCTTATTACATGGCGTTTGTCATATCAAGCTTAATTATGTGCGAGGACATGACGCCTATTTCTAGTGGGTAAGAACTTCCAATTTGTTGACGAGAGGGGCCATAAGAACTTCTAAAAGAACAGTTGAAGATGGCTTCGCTTGGTTGAATCTGTGCAATAGATAGCGCTGATGTGTAGCTGTTATGTGGATGCGAGGTAGGCGCCCAATAACTCCATCGACATGGAAAGATAATCGAGCCAGCTGAGGTTGCATGGCGTGAATGTCGGACGATTCTGCCTTACCGGAGTCACCGGACGCGGTGCAAGCGATTTTATATATTAAAAATAGCTATAAAGTGGATGTGAATAGCTGATTAGTTCTTATCCTTTCAGGCTTAAAGAAGCAATCTCGTTTGCAGCCTGGAAGCTCCCCCCTATGCTCTATCGGTATTGCCTTCTACCATTACCTGATGTTAATCGGCTAAAATTGAAATATATGTTTAAGAACGAGCACGACTTACATGAGAAAAATCTTATTGATTATCGTTTCCTTTGAGGCATAATAAGAACGGGCGTTGTGATTGTGTTAGCCTCAGCCGCTCATCTGCCTCCCACTCTTTGGCGCATTGGTCCTCAACCATGTAGAGGAGACTACGACAAGTTTAGTTCATAGCAGATGATCCACAACATGTGAGCTACGAGTGGCTTTCTTTCCCAGGGGCTATAGCAAAGAACTAGGCAGTAGGATAAATGCACGCAATAATGGCGGTGGGTTGCAACTCGGCCTCGTCACATAGTACTAAACAAATAACAGGACTTTAAAATACCATATGATCTGAAATAAAATCTTTTCTATAACTTCGGATGTTGTAGTCTATTCTACCTGCAATAAAAGTCCAGGTGCTATATAGATCTCGCTAAATAAATTATATTCGGTGTCCTGCGTCTATGGTCCCTGACAAGAATAGGTGTAACACTGGCTATTTGTCAGCACTTGTCTGAAGGAAGGACATGAGGTTGGTAATACGAGGATTTGCGAGGATTTGAATGTCACTCAGCCGACCGGCTTCGGTACTTAGCCGCATGAAGAACGGCATCCGCGGGCACTGTGCTGGAACGGGGCAATTAGACGAGCCGAGCGTTATGCATATACGAGCGGCGTAGTTCAACCTATAAACCAACTCAACGCGCTATTATTTTTAATCTTGCTCATTGCCATCTTCACTCTTCTACTCACATCTATCCTCACTAAGGTCACAATCAAGCGTTGGTTTACAGGCCGAACTCTACAATGCCTGAGATCACCCTGTATCTTGCCAATGGAGCCTGCTCCCTAGCAGCACATCTCGTCTTAGAGGAAATTGGCATCCCCTACAAGACAGTCGTCATGAAGATGGGCCCTAGTGGCTGGGTTGCTGTCGACGGCAGCATTGACGCAGACGACTACCGTCGTACAATTCACCACGCCGGCCAGGTCCCAGCCCTCAAAGTAGACAACGAAATAATAACCGAGAATCCTGCCATACTGGGCTTCATTGCGACACTGATCCCAGAAAGAAACCTGGCAGGCAAGACGGCGTTGGAAAATGCTCGCACGGCGGAGTGGTTGGCATGGATATCCGGCACCTTGCACGGAAACGCATTTGGCCTGATGTTTCGCCCTAGTCGTTTCTGTGATAACGAAGCAGAGCATGACAAGATCAAGGGGAAGGGCCGGGAGCTAGTTCTGACTGCGTATGGGATTATTGACAAGGCGCTGGAGAAGAAGGAGTTCCCGGTCGGCGAGGCAGAGACAGTCGTGGATTATTTCACGGTTCCTTTTTGGCATTGGGGCGGTAGGGTTGGTCTGGATATGTCATCGTTCCCCAACTATACCAAGTTGGTCAAGAGAATAGAGGCAAAGGAGTCGGCAAAGCGTGTTCTACAAGACGAGTCGGTGAAACCGGCAGAGTAGCAAGTTCCAAGCCGACTCGCAAGAATCAAGTTTAATCTCGCAAATACACATGGTGCTGCTTGAATGATGCAATGCGTTTTAAACCCTTGCTGTTTCAACTAGGATTGTACGACTTTATAAGGCTTGATAACAGACCAAAATATTAGTATATGGACACTTCGATTTAAACCAATATATGATGAATAGTGCCTGTATGGGATTTCCTGATAGTATCCTTTTCCATAAGACTCTTCGGTCGCAGCCGTTTCTAATTCAGTTTCTCTGCCTCTGGATACCGTGTCACAACTGAGGTATATTCCTTGATGTATTAATTCCCGACTGTACCTTCTTTTGCAATACAGTCTACGCCAGTCATCATGAAGAACGTACCCAGGATAACAGGTACTCGGAATAGTGCCGCTCTTGGTTTTAGTCTTTTGATAGATACTATTGCATCTAAAGCCGGACTTTTCTATTCTACCATATCCTCTTAAAAGTATCTGCCCTACAAGCTACTTGATGAGGACCTCGGAGGTTCAATGGCATGACATAATGTATCTTCGCTATAGTTCCGAACAATAATCGATTATTTTCGATGTCATGGTTCATTGGGGTTGGTTTTGAACGGTGTTGCTACTAAACAGTTCTCGGGTCTACACCGAGTGACTCACGCCCTGACAAGGAAGCTGAAGCTTACGAGACACTTCATAGGGCGCGAGTGGGGTTGTAGTTGCGGGGATAAAATTGCGTTGGGGACCGAGTGTCGGAGGTCCAAATGTCGGAGTTTTCATTCAGAATCCGATGCACCAGGGGGTAAAATGGTGTCATTGAAAATGACCAGGCCAGCCTGCACTTTTCAAACGTGGAAGAATGGCTCTCATCTTTCCCGTGGCCCAGACAGACACCTTTCACTAATTTGAACTTGATCACCATCATGGCTCCTGTGACTTCTGAAAGTAAGCAGGAGACCAATGATCCTGAAGCTCACAGGGCGCCGGCAACTTCAAATGCTATGGTTGAAACGTCTGTAGCGAGCTCATCTATGGACGAGGAAGATGACTATCTTGCACCAGACGGAGGCTATGGCTGGGTCATTGTTGCTTGCATTCTTGGCATCAATATTGTTACATATGGTGCGTTGATTTATGCAATTTTATGCAGGCCCCTTAATACAGACGATTTACTGACCATCGCATTTGTGCGCTTTGGTTTAGGTATCAACACCTCCTATGGCGTATACATTGCTTACTACCTCGAACACAACTACTTTGATGGCGCAACATATATGACTTACGCCTTCGTCGGCGGCTTGTCCGTGGGCATAGCATGGTTTTGCGCGCCAGGTATTAATTATCTGGTGAAGAAATTCGGCCTGCGAATCCCATTATTCGCGGGCCTTATATGCATATCTCTGGGCCAATGCCTATCAGGTCTCACGCAGCATCTCGCCATGTTTGTTGTATGGCAGGGATTGATATTTGGAATGGGTATGTAGTTCTCTAATCAAGTCTTTATCCTCACAATACTAACATTTTGTAGGCCTAGGATTGGTGAGAGCTAGTTCAGTCATGATGCTTGCTGGTGATGGAGTTGACGAATGGGTGAAAAACAGACTTCTCTTCCGCCACAGCAACTACTACCCCAGTGGTTCGACAAGCGACTGAGCCTGGCTCAGGTAAGTTCAATCACAGAACAGCAATTCCGGAATCGAGAGAATGATAGAGCTGACGCTGCATTATCAGGGTATCGCGACAACTGGGTCTGGAATCGGAGGGTTGATTTTCTCCAACACAACTCGGGCAGCCCTCGCAACCATGGGCGTCAAATACACCCTCATCATGAATGGCTGTATTTCCGCAGTCGTTCTCGTACCCTGTCTTGTGCTCTTGAAGGGTCGAACGGCAGTAAACGTCAGAGTCGAACCTCTCCAACTCAAGTGGTTTGTGCACGGCACATTCTTCTGGGTCTGGACCTGGGGATTCTTTGCTGGTATGCTCACAGATATTTCTTTATTGGCAGAAAGCAAACTAACACGTTTACTTGAAGCCATGGCGTACTTCATTGCTATTTATTCTCTTGCGCCTTATGCAACAGATGGCATTGGCTTGACCCAAACGCAAGGTGCTGCGCTCCAATCCATACTGGCAGGGGGGCAGATCATTGGCCGCCCGTTAATTGGTTTGGCCCTCGACAAGGGCGGCCGCTTCAACATGACGATCATTGCCAATATTGTTGCTGGATTAACCTGCGTGGCCATCTGGATGCCGGCTCGGTCATTCGCCGCGCTTGTGCCTTACGCCATCTTGCAAGGCGTAGTCGGCGGCACGGTGTTCAGCGTTGTCGTTCCTGTGACAACGTCAGCGGTAGGGGTCCTGGATATGGGATCAGCATTTGCGATATTTGGACTCAGCGTTGTTCCTGCAACTACATTTGGGCAAGCGATCGCTGTATCGTTGATCAATTTCTCCAAGGATACTCTTCTGAAGAGCGGGGGAGACGTCTACCAAATATCAATTGGACTGTGCGGTGGTTTCTTTTGGATGAGTGCACTCTTGCTGTTTGGTGGCAAGGTGGCCCTTCAAGGGAATATGAAGTTGCTTAAAAAGACTTGATACATCTGTGAGATGATGAATCACAATCGACTGAAGGAGGAAAAAGTCATTCGTTATCTATAAAGCTCTATTTTATCTTTGCCTCGCCTTATCAAGGCAATGGAACATTCTCCAGCTGGTATTGACATCTCAGTTCCGGACTTTGGTTTGAAAAAGGATGGTATATTGTGCATGCAGATGTTGGACCCAAGCCCTGCCACAAATACGCTTCCCTCTAGGATTTTAGAGGAAGACTTGGAAAGGAACGCCTTCCGGTGCCATCAGACCTTTTGGCCTGAATAGCGTAGATGATCAGAAGGCAGGCAATCATCGACCATCCCACACAAATAACTCTACAGGCTTCCCAATAAACCCCATTTCGAGCTTCGCTGGACTTCAATTCTTGATACCTCGTTTCCACTATTGCAATGACATCGACAAGATGTCGGAGAACAGAAAGCGCATGAGGAATCATTGGGGATATATGCGGCTGTTTCAGTCAGTTGGTGTGTCGACGGTAACGCTAGAGCTCTTGTGGAAGACAAATAAAAGGACATACAGATTGTTGAAAAGCCGGGCGGTCCTTGGCAAAATAGATGAATGATGTAGAAGCGGCAAGGAGAAAAAGTGTAGATATACACATGTCTAGAAGAACGCTGATATTGTACACACTTTGATGATATTTTCCGCCTAGAGTACCGATAGACATCAAAAAGCGTAAGACGGCCACTATCTCGACAGTCCGAGTGAATATTTCGTAGTACCTTGCTGGCTGGTTCATGGAGCCGGTTTTCACGTCGTCTCTGCTTTCCTTTTGTGGATGTTGGGTTTCAAGAGAGAGTTCGAACTGTGCCAAGAGAGCAGAAGTGAAAGCAAGCGTAGCATAAAGACCGGTAAAAGCTTCGATGCATCTCCTAGTATCTCCGATGTACGAGTGAAATCGATCGGATACGCGTGCGTGATATAATGAGCCTACGCATAGCTCTAGAAACCAGATTGCCAGCCACCTAGAACCAAAACAAAGTTAGCATTGAACGGAGGTGAATCATGGCCTGTGACATACACTGAGGTGCGTCGTATTGCTTGCCCGGCTCTGAACGAGGATCTGTTCTCGCTCTTGTTGTTTCTAGATGATTTAAAACAGTATGGCACCGCAACCAACGCATGGAAAATGAGTGCTGCGCCGATAGCTATTAAGTTGAACCCGCCAATAGCTTTCTTCGTGCTCTCGCTAGACGTCATGATGGCTGCGGTGAACTCCCTGACGAATAACATCTTCGATGAGGAGGTCCTTTGGAGCAGGCGGGACTGCTCTGATATATGTCGAAAAAGCACAGCCATGGAGTTGCTTGCCTGGAAAGTATTTGTTGCCTGCAGGTGGGATTTCATATAGATATCATATGGTTACCCTTAAACGGACAGTGCCGGCGTATGGGCATAAGTCAATCGACCGACCGATTGGACCACTGCGTATAATATATGCGGCCCACCTCAACTGTGGCCCCGTTGGGAGTCGCTTTTAGAAATGTTTACCGGTCTTAAATCCGTGAGCACAAGAATATTAGTACTAGTTTAATCCAATAAAGATGTCAATTTAGCTCTAGCTTGAAATTATGCCATGGAAACCCCAGTCACCATGGCTTAAACAGCGCCTGGAGAGACAGCTCACTCGGCCCCAAGAACTACCGGACCCGAGAGCGAGCGCGAAATCAACCAGATTCGATAGCATCTGCAATGACGGGTACTGTACCAAGATCTGCAGCTGGCCTGTTCTGCTGCGGCTGCCGGAGCTATGGCCTGTCGGCACTGAGGCTATGTTAGCAAAAGGACCCAATATCGGTCCAAGGCCAATCAAAATCATTAACCGACAGATTATTTTAGTGCTCGGCTTGTGCTTGAGCTGGAAGGATTTGCTGGAAATTCTTTGATCATCAACCCCACAGGCCAATCCTTAGGCTAGAGGTGGCTGTGCAAGCTGTGCAAGCTAGGGCGGTCATATAAAATTCATGGGCAGTTTCATATTTATCGAATCACCTCCCGTTCTTCTCGCTTACGCATGACAAGGTGTTACGTATTGAAATCAGATATCAAGCTACTCGGACAATTTACCCGCTTAAGAGCGCGACTAAGCAACCCTAGGCAGGAACACACTGAGAGTACCATTCGTTGGAGTACTGGCACTTGTAACCGGAGGCGCAGGCAGTAGGACCTGTCCATCCCTGACCGCCGCACTGACCAAAAGCTGGAGCAGTACCGCCGCTCGTGGAAGTTGGGTTGGCAGCCGAGGAGGTCGTGGAGGTGGTTGGCGTGGTTCCTCCAGACCGCCACCCTCGGTTGCGGGAGAGCTCATACCACCAGTTTCGAAGCATCCAGCCGTCAAAGTCGGTGATTTGCGATGCAGAGCCGGCAAGCATGATGAAGCTGCTGACGCCACTTGGAGTCCAATCTATTGATAGTCAGATATGAAGGTGCCTCGTAGGTTGTCTTCAGAGAAATACGCACCGTAGAAATCATCCAGACCGAAAGTGTGTCCCATCTCGTGCAGTAGGATGTGGATATTCGACGAGCTGAGAGCGCCCATGAAGTATTCCCTGCCTATTCTCTGTCCCCAGTCGCCACCGGCGCCACCCCCGAACCCGTCTGTCAGCCAGAGAGATTGGTCATAATGGTTTGCAGCCCCTCCGGGGCATGAGTTATAGTTTCCATCCTGATGGAAAAAGCGGCCGCATGCCTCCGAGCATTGAGGGGCTCCAGCGCCATCTTTATCAGTATAAACGGTAATCCCAGAGGTTGACCCTTGAAGCAGCGACCTATCCCGCACTGCCCAGCCTACTACATTGACTTGTATGTTGGAGTACGGGAAGCTGTCGTAGCCGTAGAGCCACTGGAACCATTTCTGATACTGCTGGTTCACCACGGTAGCAATCTGGTTGCGTTGGGCTTCTGTTACAGCTGTGCTGGACTCCCATCTCACACACATGTTGATTTTTCTGATTCGCATCAGCAAAGCTCAAACTTGGATTTGGAGATGATGGATCTGCGTGTTAAAATGGTGTAGGATCTTACCCTCCAGTAGCAATGATCTGATCCCAGCCATAGTTCTTAAATCCAAACAGACCGTTCGAGTAAGTGTTCAGACAGTGATCCCACACTTGCTTCAGCGGTGTTGCCAAATTTGAGGGAGGGCTCCAACCAGATTGACGCTTCACAGGCCTATTCCACAGTCCATTGCTCCGAGCAGAGACGGCGTCAGCTTCAACGGCAGGCCAACTGGATAAGTCTGTATCCCTGGAATCCGATACGTCCAAGGCTAGACCCAAGGACGATATCGAAAGGAGTGACGAGATCAATGTTGCACGCATGATTTCGTGAGGAGAGATAAGTGCTTAGTGTTGCTGGAGTGCCCAGTTTTGGGATGTTCCAAGCGGGAGCAAATGGTTTATATGTGCCCGATGATGCCTGGCAGTGAGGGGTAAAGATATCTTGGCCAAATGTTGAATGTTATTCCTCCAAGGAGAGTTGAAGGATTTTTAGATTGACCGGGTGATCCTTCCAAGACCCCCCAATGGAGAATCAAAGACCAAGACTACGGGCTCTATCCTACGGTCAAAGTCCGAGGAACCGCATCTGTTCGGGTTGTGACTCTTGGCTTCCTGTTTGTGATGTTGGCTATTGTCAAAGACAGGAAGCGCGCCAATAGTTTCACCTAGAAATCACGAGAGGACAAAATCTTCGGTGGATTACACACTAGACTCTACTCTTGCGCGTGCTCTGTTTATGCAAAGGGGGACAATAATTCATTCTCATTGGGTAGTAAAAAATAGCCAGGGTGTATCCAAATCCCCGGATTGGGGATGAATGGAGGCTTCGCAAGGTGATGATCCGTTGCCCAACGAGGAAAGTGATAGATAGCAAGCCTCTTTAAGTCGATTAGAGTCCCCCGGATGGGAACCTAAAATATAATGATACATCTTGAGTCGCATTCGGATAGCATCCCGCAGTTACTTGACCAAATCGGTATCGGATGAGCAGACATAACTCCGTTTGCTTGTCAATAATGATTCCTCGCGATGGCCCCCTCCCATGAGATATCTCATTCGTATATGCATACCTTTTTGGGTATTATTGAACCGCTTGCAACATATTGAAAGAGGTTATGTCTCGTCATTGGTGGCGGAAAAGACTTCAAAGAGCCAAGCGATAAGATCAGAAGATTGCATAGGCGCGTGGACAGAAGTTGAGCATGGTTCATATCCGGCACGGCTGAAACCCAGGACTTATAATTCCGAAAGAAGATAATTGGAAAGCGTGCTACGGGTTCTTGTCCGATCACTTTATTATCTTACATCACACGATTCAGCCCGTCCATGGAAGTAGTCTCCTTAGCACTAGCAAGCTCACTACGAAAGCCTGGACCCAACATACGTTTACAACTCTCTCTTATTCATGGTATCATCCACTCTTTCGGTCTAACAAATCCCGAAAAGCCAGGGTCGCTTAGTCTGGGCTTTATCTCCGGACTGTTGTACTATGCAATGGGATACGAGACACAAATAAGGGCAATCATTTAAGTATGGCTGTCCGTAGTTACATCAGCTTAAAACGTTGGTCTCATCAATTCACATTCTTAGCTCACCATGGCGGAGAGGCGTCACTCAGCCCTTATGTCTCAGTGAAAACATAGGACCCCAAGGCTGCCAAAACAAACCTTTGAAGCCGGCTGTCCGTGACCCTAGCTCGTCTTATTATCCATCATGTCATACCAAAGCTAAATCATGGGTCTTGTGATCACGAGGGGCCAAAGATGAAAAACTATTCAACACTATGGACGTGAGAACAGACACTGAGCACACGACCTTCGAAACATTCCACTGTTGATTATTTTGGTAAGTCGCGGCAGTACTAACACATTTTGGGATGAAATTTAAAGTTATCAACAGTTTGGCGTTCCTTCCGGTGGCTGATCACTAGGAACAGCCATAAAATTCCGGGCGTCAAGCTAATCCACGAAACTTTCAGCTTGCGCCGCGTAGTCCCATGTTGCGGTGAGTATGATAAAGATCTGTTAGATTCTGGGCGAAGCAAAGAGGATAAGTCATCTTGTTCGTTTGTAATAAAGAAGTCCCATAATATGTGCAATAGCAAAGGTTAGAAAAAACGACGATATCATGATGCTCTAGAAGATTTTGCTTGACTCGAGCGATTATCCATTAAAATATGACATTTGCTTTCACACTCAGTGTCTTTGGTGACCTTAATGAACCTAAGGTAGTTCATTTCCAAGGTTTTGTCCGATATTGAGCGTGATAACGTCTGAAAAAATTGTCAGTTCCAATTTCTGTGCTTTATTCAACTGTACCGTATTAAAGATTTAATTTTTATTTCCCAACGCCAGCTTAACTAGTAAGCATTCCGCAACGCCCAGGTCGGGCAACAGGGCATGCACGCAAGCTTTGGAGGTTTTCAATAGCTGAAATCAAATTTCATCAAATTTCATAGCAGAAAGAGAAAAAGGTTCAACAGCAATGAAAGCTACCAGGGCCCGACAACTTAATTCAATGAAGAAATTTAATTTCAGCCGTTGTTTTCCTAAAAGACTCATCGGGATAGCACAATAAAGTTCCAAGCGAGGAAGTTGGGCGAGATATAAATAAAGAGACGCTTCCATTCATTCTTCATACAACCAGAGACTTATTTGCTTTAAACTACACCTATAATATCCACCAGTCCTTGTGTCAAAATCCGAGATCCCAGAATATCGAGCACAATAACACGATCGAGCACAATACACACGATCAAGCACAATACACACGATCAAGCACAACACACGCTATGTCGCCCCTCGAGAATGTTCCTCCCGAGATATTTGATGTCATCCTAGCAGGACTTAACTTAGAGAGTGATATTTATCACCTTTTGTTAACCTGCAAGGAGATGCACAACGCATGCATCGAATGGCTGTACAGAGTCAACGCAGCGAACGTTATCGACCACCGCTCAAACCAACCTTATGATCAACCACGCTGGTCAGCCCTAGACTGGGCTCTCGAGAACGGGATGGAAACAATCGCCCTGCGGGTGATTAACATGACGCCTGAGGTCTGCGATATAAACCATGCTGGCAAGGCTATAAAAATGAAAGACCCCGTTATTGCAGATCGTCTCTTGGGCCTTCCTCACCTGCAACTACAGTTGCGAGATCCGGCGTTGAGACACACGGTTGACAAGTTTACATGTGATGCCATTGTGCACGGGCATATAACTTGTCTCAATACACTCGAAAGGCCGGCGCCTTTCGACCTCGAAAAAAAGGAATACTTGTCTAATTACGTCGAACCTTCGCTCGCGCTTGCATGTAAGAAGGGCTACGTTAACCTAGTGGAAAGATTCGCTGCGGCAGGATTGAGGAAATGCAGCAGCCCTGGAGTGTGGTTGAAGCCTTTGCCACTGGTTAACGCGATTCGATATCGGGGAGAGGGAGGCAAAAGCAAAAAAAATAATGAAATGGCAAAAATCTTGCTGGACATATATCCGAAGCTGGCAGTAGATGGGAGGCTCCTCTTTGCAGCAGCCCAGGAAGGTCATGAATCCGTACTCGGACTTCTTATAAAGCATGGAGCGCCAAAGCCGGACCAGGAAACACTCTGTTTTCTTCTATTCGAGGCCATTCGCGGGGGATGTCTGACCTTTATTCAAATACTTCTCGAAAAGGGGGCATCGATAGTTCCGACAACTCGACAAAGGATCAAATATCCCAGATTCATTCCACCAAAAGACAGAGCGCACAAAGCACTTCAAAATGCAGGCAAAATCAGTGAGGTACTTACCTCGCAGCGGAAGAATCTCTCTAGCCGAGACGGTAGAGGACAATACGTGCTTAGCGAAGCCATTTCAGCAGACAATATCCCTCTCGTCAGATATTGTATTTCTATTGGCGCGCATAGGATCAAACATAGGCTCAAAAAACGTCAAGCAAGTCTGTCATACCGCGTTTCATCTATCGATATGTTGGAATGCCTGACTACCGAGGGAATAAACATCAACTTGTGGGACGAAGATGGCAATCTCCCAATCCAAAACACTCTGCCATTACTTTCCCACTGCATCGACGATCCTCTCCTTTTTTTTAAGACTTTCATCAGCAAAGTGGGCGATATTGACGCCCGGAATTCCCAGGGCCAAACGATTCTATCTTATTGCTGTGCTGTGGTCCCTACCAAGCGCTCGAAAGATGAATACCGCTGTATCAAGGAATGCGTCGAAGCATTGCTCGATAATGGTGCAAAGCTTGATCTGGCATCTGCTACTGGAAGATCGCCGCTTCATGAAGCCGCGCAATTCTCGTCTGAGGAGGTTGTATCACTACTCTTGAAGCGCGGTGCCAACCCCAATGCTCTGGACAATCAAGGGTGCAGTCCTCTTCATTCTGCAATGGCTCATCCACAACGGGAAATAGTAGTCAAAATGGCCAAAAGACTGTTAGAACATGGCGCTGATCCCAACCATCGGGATCGTAGCGGAACCTCCGCTTTACATATTCCGCCTTTGTGTGTGTATCCTAATTATGCGAAAAGGTTGCTTCGTATTTATCTTTCGTCGCAGGAAATCAAGGCGGAGGGGAATCGGACGGATGATAACCACAACGAGACGGACGGCCGTGAAGGTGAAACGCAAGTTGGCGAAGCAAATAAATCCGTTAAGTCTCTCACTGGTGACTTTTTATGGCGACGAAACAGTGAAGGTACAACACCTTCTGTTGTTATTGCCAGGGATTATGACAACAATCCACAAGAGTGGATGAGGTTCTATCAGACGGACCGTGGCTTTGACGTGCCTGACGCACATGGCATCACCCCACTAGCGGCCGCGTTTCTTTCATGCCGAACTTATCTCGCAAGATGGCTTGTGCGTGAGGGAGCAGATATAAATTGGGTCAATGACCGTGATCAAACGGTCTTGGACATACTGTCAGAGCACTCAGCTGCCAATCGCGGAAATAGGCTATCTATGTCCCAAGATGTAGCAAGAGAGCTCGGTGGGTTAACGTCTAGGGAGCTCGCCAATTGCCGTGAGACGCAATATTTACGAGTTCTTCTGGGAGGAAATGGTCCAGAGAACGATAATGTCATAGCATGGGGGGGGGCTTATTTACGGCATAGATGATAATTCCAAATTCTTAACTATGAAGTGCCTGGCCAGCGACAGCTTACAGATAGAGCATCAATTACTTCCTTTTCCTTGCATGATCGTTTGTTATTTCTACCTGTTTATAACGAGGTCTTCTGTCCTTTATCGACCGTGAATTTGACACAATGATTAACCTAGTACTAAATACAATATCACGCTAAATATCATGGAATAACCTATTATTCTCTTATTATTGTGTTTTATTAGAAAGAAAGTCCCTGCCTTACGCGAAAAGAGCTTTGGTGTGCCATGTTTTATTTCACTCACTTGCCATTCAAGTGTACTTATCAAGCTTGACAAGCTGGGGTCTGTCCATTAACACAGTGCGGCTTTATTCAGTTCGATTCAAAAATATTGGAAGCCTTCGCCTATCTATTTAACTGAAAATCCACCGTCGATCGGCATGGTCATTCCCGTCACATAGGATGACTGTGGGGAAGACAGCCAAAGAGCAGCCTGTGCAACCTCGTGGGGAAGTCCAAATCGGTTGAGGTATGAAATCTGAGGCGCGAACTGTTCCTCTGTCGTGCCAAACGCCTTGAGAACGTCCTCGATCATGGCAGTCTGAAAGATCATGATTAGCTCGTGGAAATGGTCATCGCCAGAGAAGAGAGTTACTCACGTAGATAGCGCCAGGGGCAAGCGCATTAGCACGGATACCATGAGGACCACCCTCAAGACATGCCTGCTTCGTCAGGCCGACAATCGCATGCTTGGTTGATACGTATGCAGGCATGTTGGGCTCCGGCTTGTAGGCGGCGCCGCTGGCCAAGTTGACGATGGTTCCGCCATTTCCTTGCTTGATAAACTGCTGCAGCTCGTACTTGATGCAGAGGGCTGTTCCGGTCAGGTTGATGCCGACGAGCTTGTTGAAGTATGCCACATCCATCTTCTCAAATGGAGTAGAATCGGGCGTCAGGGCAGCATTGTTGATAGCGCAGTCTAATTGTCCGAACTTCTCCACGACGAATTGCACCAGCTTGGCAACCTCATCCTCCACTGAGATATCTGCCTTGTAGAAGAGAATTTCTCCGAGGGCTGATAGTTCCTTGGCCACCTCTTCACCCTTCTCCTCCTGGATATCGCAGATGACAACCTTCGCACCGGCTTTGAGGAATGCGGATGCTGTGGCCTTTCCAATGCCTTGGGCACCACCGGTAATCAGGGCTACCTTTCCTGGCAACACACGGAAAACCTCGAATTCAGGGATCTGGGGAGGCATGGTGACGAGATTTGGTGAGGTATGGTCCAAATACGAACAAAAAAGCGAAGGATGTGTAGCACTGGCTGTTTGGAAAAGTATGGTCAGAATGTAATGTGCTTCAAGAGGATGAGGAGAACGGCTTTATATAGCCGTTGTCACAGCCCAAGTCTGGCAACGTGGGGCTACTCTTCTCTACGAATGGAAAAGAGCAGCCAGTAATTGACCGCCTCTTGAATTCAACTCTGAATGGCGTCCTCTGGCAAGGCGAGGATGGACGGATGAACTCCTTAGTGGACCTTACTAGCGGCCGTTTTCTCCAATTTTCCGCGGAATCGTGGTTTCGTTGGACCCCCTGGTTTTATCTATCACCACACTATCTTTACGGCCATACCCTGACCATTCGCAGAGTCCCTCGCCTAAACCTTCAAAGGCAATGACAAGTGATTAGTAGGGGAACTAAGAAACCGGACGCAAGGGTCCGGCTGGCAAGAAGACGTATATGTCAGTCTTCAATTTGTCAACATCCGTACGGAAGGCAGGGATACAATACGACTTTGTTGAGATGCCCAATGCAACTTACGAGCATTGAAGGGGACACACTCCACCACCGAGAAACATGCTTGTCACTTGTTGGATTATGTGTGCGCCTGTTATCAAGGAACTGCTAAGCCGAGTTGAGTAGGTGGTCAGGAATTCGGGGTGCTCTCGTCACGTCCTAACCTTCGGACTGAATCACCTCACCTGAGCTTTTCAAGGCGGTGACCAAGCTTCATTGGTTCACATACACCGCCTCCTAGCGAGCTGGAATATAGCTGGCTATTCCCACGTGCAATGTAGAAGATTTAACCCCTCTGTTACTCTAATCCGTTGGATTTTCCCACTTTTTCAGCCAATTTACGAAACCTCAATCGCAGCAGAACCGTCTCGAAGAGCAATATGGGAATACTCAGGCCAGTGTCCACTGGCTAGTGTTTGATCCCTGCTCCTATTGCTCTGCGCGCCTATTATACCCCAGAAACCCTCCGAGTCTCCGCAGGAGTGGGAGGCTCCCGAGTGCTAGGTGCATGACCAAGTGGATGAGAATGTCGCTTACATGCAGATATCTGTCATTCGCGTCTAAAGCTAAGCCAATCATATCCCCCTGCAATCCGAGGTAGGCTTAGATGTGTGCCAACTGCATACCGAATATCCAACGTCTCCCCTCCGTGTTGTTCCCAATTTCTCGACCTCATGCAATCCTTTGGTTCAGCTTTGGTGTACGGAATCCAATACATTGTGATATTCGTAGGTGGCGTTGCTCGCCATTTTATGTCCAACCTCTTAGAATTTCAGGGTGTCAATATACCCCGCTTTTCTCGAAGCGATTCCGTAATTCTCCAATTTGCTCAACGACCTTTTCAAATACCTAACCGATGACTCACTTTAATTATGAACATCGTCAATTACCTACACATACTATGATGCTGACGCATTGGATGTCTTTCGTATCCAGGTCATGCCAGAGGGGGGTTTGGGAATAAATTTTCCGACGCACTAAACATTGTTAGGCTCTTCTTCCATTTTGAAGCATTTATCAATGTTGCTAAGGCAAAAGGTGCCAACTTTTTTGTTGATATTTTTAAAACTCTGCGTTTTCTCAACGGCCAGTCGGGAATAGAGAAATAGAAGGGTCACACTTTCGTTTGCCCTACCATGACTTCGCTAGTAAAGTGAGTCAGTATACGGATCCCACATTATTTACCTACATTCCTTGTGTGTCAACTACTAAAGGCTGTATGAGATTCGAGTAGCCCAGCATGCAAAGTCTTATCTTGGCACGTCTCCAGTATCAGGGTCTAGCTTTCAGCGTAATAAAAAATATGAAACTTGCCTTATGATACTAACACGGAAATCAATGATTACAAGGGAATCATGAGCTGAATTCCTTTTCTTCAGAAATACCAACAGATTAGACAACAGATGTCAAATAGGATGCCGTGGAGCGACAGTTTCCACCTACTGATGTATGATGCTAG